GAGACCCACTGCCTATCAGTGTTGATAATGCTGGTGCAGAGGGGCCAATGGGCTGACTCATTATAAGGCAGCTCATATTATAATAATTATAATAATAATAATAATTTATACCCCACCCATCTGGCTGGGCTTCCCCCAGCCACTCTGAGTGGACAACTATCTGAGACTAACCATGGGAACAAAGGTTGGCCCAGTCCACATATAAAGCTGAGTCTTTCAAATCCACACTTTACAAAATACTTTGAGAACCAAAACACAGCCATCCTTCACACTGATCTGAATTTTGCAATGCAGTTCGCCAAACAGTTCTTCCTTTGGCTAGGTCAAATATGCATCCATATAATTTAATAATAATAATAATAATATTTTATTTTTTATACCCCTCCCATCTGGCTGGGTTCCCCCAGCCACTCTGAGTGGCTTCCAACAAAAGATAAAAAATACATTAAAACATCAGTCATTAAAAACTTCCCTAAACAAGGTTGCCTTCAGATGTCTTCTAAATGTCAGATAGTTGTTTATTTCCCTGACATCTGATGGGAGGGTGTTCCACAGGGCGGGTGCCACTACCAAGAAGGCCCTCTGCCTGGTTCCCTGTAACTTGGCTTCTCGCAGTGAGGGAACCGCCAGAAAGCCCTCGGCACTGGACCTCAGTGTCCGGGCAGAATGATGGGGGTGGAGACGCTCCTTCATATAAGTATGTGCAGAAATATAGCATTAAAGAACCGCGTGAATGAGGCTGGAACATGTTGTCTCGTGCCCCTCTGAGGCATACTGCATGAGTGGAGAAACTTTGTAGCCTGGGGTGGGGCAGATCTATATCTCTCTCCAGCTGCGTACTTCCATCACTGGGCTCCATTGAAAACAACTACTACGTGCAAACCAGGAAGTGACCTCTCTAGGCAACGGAACCACTCTTATTTTCTTACCTCTGCAGCCACAATCTCCTGGGTGATGTGGATGCCATTAGGCAGTTGAATGTGAATGCATACTCTATCCATTACCGTTCCACACACCCCTCTGCGCAGCCCCAGGTGCTGGCAACCCACGCTATACCACTGGCCACTGCTATTTTAGTAGCTGTTTCAATGCAAACTGTTTCCTGCTTTTGGAGCAATTGGGAGCTCAGTTTTAAGCTCCTGATTGTTCCTTTATAGCCACATTGGAACCTGCCCCATATTTGGCATCAAATATGACATCGGGTGTGGGGCAGGTGGATTTGGATTGTGAGAAATGGCCTCCTGGGCCAACCAGGGATCACTGCTGGGTAAATTCGGCCCTTGGCCCTACTGTTTAACTTTGCCTTGGTTCTCATCACAGTTCTCACAGCTTTCATTCTGGAGCTAAAGTGGCAAAGAGAGATAGAGAGATTTATTTGATTGCTTCTTAATTAGAGCCATGACAAAGCTTCTTGTCACAAAGAATAAAATCCTGGCATCCATCAAAGAACATTCTGCGTGTGTTTTCTCACTGGAGCAAGAATGTCGATGAACAGCCTGTTTCTTGTTCAGGATGCACTGAAGGAATTTAGGATTGTATGTCTTCACCCAACCAGCTGTGCTATGCACCACGTGCAGTAACAGTGTGAGATATGGACAAATAGAGGCAGGATACTGCATTACAGTCCTTTCACCTTAATTTCCCCTCCTTGTTAACAGTCAGTTTTTATCTTGTTAATGATCAGCTAAGAGATCTATAGCAGTGGTGGCAAGCATTCATAATGTGTACATGGTTTTTCACAATTCACCAGTTCGCATACATTCACCTTTCTAGCTGTCTTGCACTCATTGCATTTCTTTTGCCATCTGTGATGTAATCATGCACATCAAACTGATTGTGTAGTGCTATGCTGTCATTCCACTACATGATTCCATATGGATGATCCAGAAAGAGCACTCTCTTGCAGTTTCTTTCGATTTGTTTGTTTACTGTGAATGACTTCATCATGTGACTAAGTCAGATGTTGCGGTGTGACATCATTCTTTCATAATGTGATTCCTAACTGGCTAGAATTATCAGTGAGACTGATCCTGGAACTCTCCCTCTCTTAACTGATATGTTTACTTTGAGTGCCATCACCATGTAGCCCTATTAGCTTGGCTATATAATATGACATAATCCTTTCCTAATTGGCTAGAATCGCCCATGTGATTGATTTGGCAACTAATTCTCTCTTCCCTCCCCCCCTCTAGGATTGTTTACTATCAGTGATAGGATCGTGTAGCACATCAGACAGGCTATGCTGAATTGTGGCATCTCTCTCTGTCAGTATGTGACTGCCATCTGGGGAAAAATAGCAATTAATGGGTTTGGAAATGGAGAAAATATTCTCAGCATTAAAATGGTCCCCCTTCCCCAGAGAACAAGATAATCTTCTGTGTAGCGTAGCTATGTAGTCAGTAGGGGCCTATGCAGTGGCTGTTCTCCTGGAATCCAAACATGTTTTTAGTTTTTTGCCTGGATATAAGCACCATTGAAATCAATGGGATTTCCTTCTGAATACAACATGCCTAGCAATGCACTGTGAATGTCCATTTCTAGGGTACCCCAAAAGGTAAATGGCAATAGAATTATAGATCACTGACAGTATGGAAATAAGAAGGCATTGATTCCTGTTCCAGTGCACATTTGTCTCATGTAGTGCTGTTTCTGTTCCAACATAGTTCAGCTTCCAACAAAAAACCCCCTACAATATTCATCTTGCTGTCCACTATGGCAGAGTTTTTCATAATTATCTGTGATATTGATTACTTTGTTATTACATTATTCCACAATGTTCATTCCAATGCAAAAGCCGTTCATTTAAGGGCAAAACAAACTTAATGCAAATAGGTGGAGGGACCCATCAGTCATATAAATTTTGCTGATAATATTCACTGGATTGATTTCCATTCGAGACATGAGATGAATAAGCAAACGTCAATGATTTCTGAATCCATTTACGTTTCCGTCGCAATTCTCTGACATCCCTAATTGACAGTGATAAAGTACTCCAGCCATCAGCAGAATCGTTCAAGAATTTGGCTGTCTTGTCTTTTATATCACTGATCAGAGAAACACCGGATGGTTTTCCACATCAGAAAGTTTATTTAAATTTTTGTATTAATGGAGCCATGAAAAGTAAATTGGCATCATGCAGCTCACATTACTGAGCATACTGACAACAGGTATCACCATACTGTTCTTTCTTAAATTGATTTCATCCTCTCTAGCTTAGAGGTAACCAAGAAAGTTCACAGATGATTGGAGTTGTATTCCAGCAACATCTGGTGGTCACTATGTTGGCTACCCTGGTCTAGATCAATAAGTAGAAAGTCACCACTCAAAAATACTTTCCTCAAAATTAGGTCTCATAAGAGTAACTGAGCAGATGATTCCTTCTAGAAACAATACAATATACAATATTATAAATAAAAAGCGGGCAGTAAAATGTACTTCTTCAGACCTTACAAAATTCTGTACACACTAAAACACATAATTCCAGCAACAGAAACACAAATACAAGAATCAAAATATTTAGTTCAAGCTCAGAGATGTTTTCCAACAGACACTTTCACAATGCTTGAACTATGAAAATGAGATTCATGAATTTGAAATGCATGTTATATTTAATCACATCAGGTTGGGGAAAAAATTCAAAGGGCAATATATTCTTCTGTACTTCGGAATGAGCTTTGCACACCTAGCGATAAATCATGATATTATGGTAATACTTCATATGCAAAGTTGTCTGCAGTTTTGCATACCTAATTAATTCTGTTTCCACTTATATGCAAGCCACATTCAAACAAAAATGTTCACCATGTAATATTTATATGGCAAAGTCACCGCATAGAAAATATGATTCAAGTTTTCAAAACAATGCACTATATGGATGTATGCATGTATTTCTGGTAACGACTTAGATATCCTGGTTTCCAGACATAGGTTCTCAAAATGGTGAGCTTGTTGAACCTTGCAGGCCCCTTGCGAAGCACTGAGCTATATACCACTTTGAAAGAGGCTTAGCAAGACCTGGCATTCACGAGAAGCCCCTTTCAAAGTGCTGCCTTGCAAGAGTGTCTTATGGAACACTTTGCAAAGCACTCTGCAAAGACCTATGGGGGGGGGGAATCACAAGCGATTGTGAGGTGTGTGGACCCACCCACCTGTTAAACTTGGTCCATGACCTGTGGGGTAGATGATTCCAGATCCAGTTCCCCACATTTGCTTTAGAAAGATTTAGGGCCATCAGTTCTCTTTGGAACATTTCGTGTGAGCGATTTTTGATGGCTGAGAATGGGTTGGTATTCTGCTCTCAGGCTCATTTGAGTCCCACTTCGCACAATTATTTCTTGATGTAACACAGACAGTTAACAGCACACATAAGTATTTGCGCTAATGGGCTTGTAGCTAGCTAATTTTGGCTGAGTTGAGAGGAAGTCAAGAGTGGCTTCCGCCATTTAATTTTCATTTTAAAAGCTGCTCAAGGGCCCGCAGCCCGAAAAAACATCTCGGAGCCTTTTGTTGGAAAAGTGCCTTTCTCGTCTCAGTATTGTCTATTTCACTGGAACCCAAATTATATTCTATGTCACAAAGGGCCCGGAGTACAATGTAATAATATTAAAAATAATAATCTGAATAATGCTACTTTGAGGCTGTGCAAACTGGTCTCTGATTCAAGTTCACTCTTTGATTCTCGTTCTCTCAATTTCTCCACTATCAATCGCTTCCCCCCTTTTTAAGAGCATGTGACAAAGAGAGAATGAGACTGTGGGAGCAGGGGATTCTGCCTGTAATTTTATGGCAAAATCCATCTGCTAAAAATGGCTAACTGCTATCAAAGCAAACCCTCCCACCAAACATTGGTGAACTAGCTGCATGCTATGTAATATTCACAAATATCCAAAATTATGAAGGTGAAGGATAATTCACAAAATGTTGACTGACCATGGTGACAAATACTGTTGAGCAGTGCAGAAAGAGACAAGGCCTGTTTTTCAGGGAGCAAATAGGGATCAGACTGTAGCTCAGCGGTAGAGAACATGCTTTGCATGCAAAGGGGCCCAGGTTCAATCCTTCGCTTCACCAGATAGGACTAGAACAGACCCATGTCTGAAACCCTAGCTGTCAGTCAGTGTAGACAATACTGAGCTAGATGAAGCAATGGTCTGAACTAGTGAAAAATTGTGGTACCAGAATGGTGGAATGTTAAGAGCTTGCTGGATCAGACCTAGTTCAGCATCCTTCTCTCATTGTGGCCACCAACATGGATGGCTTTAAAAGAGGATTAAACAAATCCATGTAGGATAGGGCTATATTTGGATGTGTTCTGCCTCCATGGTCAGAAGCAATATGTTTCTGAATGCCAATTGCTGGAAACAACACGAAGGCACAGTGCTGTTGCACTCAGGTCCTGCTTCCAGGCTTCCCACAGGCATCCAGTTGACCACTGTGAGAACAGGATGCTGAAGACCCCTTGGCCCAATCCGGCAGGCTTTTATTGTGCTAGATGGCCTCCAGTGCAACTTCCAATGATATGATTCTCCCTCGTGGTGGGAGCATGGGGCTGGGGCAGAGTAGGCTGCATGCTGACAATGATCGTGGGTGAGTCAGATAGTTCAGCAGGAAAGAAAGAGAGGAGTTAGGATGCTGCCAAAATAAGACCAAGAGAAAGGAGTGTCGAATGGATCTATCCTAATACTTGGACAAGGGACTATATGCAGAGAAGCTATGGGAGAAGGGAATCACGAAACAGAATGCCAAGATGACAAGGAGGCCCCAGAAGAATGGGAGCTGAATTTCACAGAGCGAATTCTTGAATTGGGTTAGTGTGAGAATGCTAAGAGAGTAACAGGTCCTTTAACCCTCTTCATAGAGGAAGCATACATATATATACAGTTGTACCTTGGAAGTCAAACAGAATCAGTTCTGGAAGTCTGTTCGAATTCCAAAACGTTGAGAAACCAAAGTGTGGCTTCTGGTTGGCTGCAGGAAGCTCCTGCAGCCAATCAGAAGCCACGAAAGCCCCGTCGGACGTTCAGCTTCCCAAAATATTTCAAAAACCGGAACACTCACTTCTGGGTTTTGATCATTTGAAGGATGATTTGTTGGGGAACCAAGGCATTTGAGATCCAGGGTACAGCTGAATATAACATTGCTCAGAAATTTTGATTTTACTATTTGCTATGGAATGAAAAACTATTCCCCTCACTTTGCTCTCAAGATCCCTCTGTAATTACAATTTAATCATTTTAAACTACAGTTGCATATGAGGCAAGCAACAGTAGCGGTTGGCCAGACTGGTATATTAAAACCCAAGAGAGCACTGCTGCTATGTACATTTTAAATCTGGAAAAGAAGCTTACTGCTACAGTGTAAATGTTTGCTTCTCTGTCAAGCACATTCCTTTCCTCCGGTTCTGCAGAGCTGTTTGCCCTGAGTTACTTACTCTGAAGGAACATCCATATTATCTCCCAAGTGTGTTGATGTGTAGGCTTATCTATATGGAGCCTGTGTGGAGCTGGCTCCATACCCATAATGCACAGCTTCCTTCCACCAGCAGGAAACACATCTGTGGGGAAAAGGGGGCAGAAAACTGCTGTGCCTTGTGAGCCATCGTGGGGGATAGAGAGTGGGCAGCTGCATCAGGAAAAGGAACAAATGCCATTTTTGGTACTGTATCTCTGGGAGGGGAATGGGGGTATCCTAACAACTCTCAGCACCTGGGAGTTGTAGTCCAAAAACACGTCGGGATGCAAGTTTGGGGAGTCTTGCCCTGGATAATTGATTGGGCAGCATTCGCTTCATAGCACATGGTTTAGAAAGGAATGTGTAACAATGCACACACTTCTGCCATTTGCCTCTTAGTTTCCATATAGCAAGCATAGTTTAATGAAACGAAACAGCTTCCCTGTGGTGTGAACAGGGTCAGCATTTGTAATATCAGGCTCGGTCACATCAAATATAACTAGAAAACAACCAGACTGGTTCAGAACTGGGTGGCTCTGCAAGATCAAATAAAGTAAGAGAGACAGAGCAGATGCAGGCTCCAACGTCACAGCACCTGAAAGGAGAAATTGAAATAATGAGTCACCTGAAATGTCAGAGGTGTGTGCAGCAAGGAGGGGAAACAAGTCATGCAAATGTGACCCATCGTGTCCTACCTCTTGACAGACCAACTTTCATAGTTTGTTTGTTTTTAAAGGAGAAGAATAAAATACACAGGAATGCTGAATTGATGCATGAAGTAGCTCTTTCTGTTGCCACTTGACAACAAGGCTTTTGTAATTGCTCTGGAGTGGATTAACACAGACCATTACAGTGGTACCTTGGGTTACATACGCTTCAGGTTACAGACTCCGCTAACCCAGAACTAGTGCTTCAGGTTAAGAACGTTGCTTCAGGATGAGAACAGAAATTGTGCTCCGGCGGTGCGGTGGCAGCAGGAGGCCCCATTAGCTAAAGTGGTGCTTCAGGTTAAGAACAGTTTCAGGTTAAGTACGGACCTCTGGAACGAATTAAGTACTTAACCCAAGGTACCACTGTACTTCAAAACGCTCCAATGAAATAATAAACGATGGGTGAGATCCAGAGAGCATTTTGCACAAGCGGAAGTCATTTTGTCGACACAGACTGTGGTCTCCGATTTGTGCCTATCGACTTCCTGAGGTCACTGAATGTAAGACCTAGTCATGCCAAAGGCCTATCTGGTCCACCACCCTAATTTCCTTCAATGCCCAACCCGATGCCTAAGAAACACCCACAAGCAGCACTCGAGGGTGACATCCTTCTCTGTTGTTTCCCAGTGAATGGTATCCAGAGACCCGTAGCCTCTGATCCTGGAGGTGGCAGGTAGCCACCAAGTCATCCATAGCCTTATTCTCCATGCTTTATCTAATTTCCTTTTAAAGCCAATTTGTTGATGTAAAGTCTAGCCAGCATCTGGACAGAAAACTGCTCTGAGCTCCATCATGAAGAAATGTGAGTTACAAAGGTGATCTGTGGATCAAAATGATGTTAAATATGTTAGGAGCCCCCTGGATAGCTCAGTTGGTTACAGCATGGTGCTGATAATGCCAAGGTTGCAGGTTTGATCCCTTTATGGGACAACTGCATATTCCTGCATTGCAGGGGGTTGGACTAGGGTCTCTTCCAACTCTACAATTCTATTATTCTATGTGTATTGGGTTAAGCAGGGATGGGAAATCTATGGCCATGCAATTATTGTTGGATTCCAATGCCCTTTGGCCCCTGCCAGAATAAACAATGGATGAGGGGTAATGGGAGATGTAGTCCAACAATACTTGGAGGGCCACACTATCCCCATCCCTTTATTAAAGACACAATAGGCCTGGATTTTGGCTTCTAGTCATCGATTCTACCTCTGTCAAAAAACCTTCCGCAGTTACACCTTTTTCATGAACCTTAAGATGAAGGACACATTTAAAGCTTTGTAGTGCTTCTTTACCTCAGAAGACACACAGGTATCGTCGAAAGACACTTTGGTGGATGACAGATAAGCGTCTGTGACGGTGATGTCTTCTAGCTCAGTGTGGAAATGGTCTGTCTCCTTGATGACGCTGTAGTTTAGGGCCACGCTGTAGTTGTTGGGCTTCTCCGACTGCTTCTGCTGGCATTTGCAGAGTTTCTTGAAGGCTGCTCTGAATTTTTGGGACATGAGGTTGTAAATCACAGGGTTGATAGCACTGTTTAGGTAAATGCAGATCCTGCAGAACAGCAGGAACCAATTTTCTTGGAAAGGGCGAGACAGGAAAGAGTTGATAACCACCAGGGTCCTGTAGGGCATCCACAAAAATGCAAAGAGGATTACAACCACAGCCAGCATCTTGGTAACCTATGGGGAACAGGAAACAATACCATGTGAGCAACAGAAAGGGAGGGGAAAGCGGGGAAGGAACACAGCAAACACTTCAGGGTTTATTTCAGCCTTCCACAATTCCCAGCAGCTCCAGCTCAGTGGCGTAGCTAGCTGCTTGGGTGCCTGGTGCAGGGAGGTGTCCTGCAGCCGGGGGTGGGGTTATCCACCCATGGGGGTGGGGCAAGCCTCTCCGCTGCCACCTCCTCAGCTATAGGGCGGCTGAGGGAGAGGCAGTAGGCATACACAATTCCCACACTGCTGTTTCAGGCAGTGTAGAACCTGCCGGCATCTAAGCCACCACATCACTCCTAAAAAGTTTCGTGAGCCCAATTTTTTTAATTAAAAAAACAACAACTCATTTTGTCACACCCCCGCCCCCCAGTGATGACACCCGGGGTGAACCGCACCCCCACACCCCCTTCCTCTGCCACTTCTGCAGCTGCCAGAGTTGTGTCAGGGTTGAAGTTAAAAACATCGTAAAATCTTAGAATCTTAAGATTCTAAGTAGAGTCCAGTCCAAGCCCCTGCAAAGCAGGATATTTTTTTTGCCCAATGTAGGGCTTGAACCCTTGACCCTGAGTCTCATGCTCTATCAACTGAACTCTCCCTTGGATGAAGAAAACAAGCTGGAGAATGTGAACACCAGATTGGGAAAGGGTAATCTGGTGGAATGCATATTACTACCAGAGACTGTCGCCTAGGCGAGATTTCTTCTATGCTGGTTAAACATCTGCCTTACATCAGATAAAGATCCTCTCCTCAGCGAAGTTTTGCTAGACCCCTTTCTTTCCCCAGGGCTACAACAGTTTAACAAGAAGGTACAGCAACTCGGGCTGTCAGTGGAACTTTTGCAACCGATGTCCCTACCATCTGCCAAGGCTATAATAAAAACTAGGTTGTGGGATATTGAGCGCCAGGAATTAACAGTAGCAGCAGAGAAAACATGTTCTAACCACAATTACCTTGAATTTCTGCTTAACCCTGAAGAAAGAAGGGAATTTTCGCTGGCCAGGTTTAATTCAAATCCATCAAACCTCCTTTGGGGAAGGTTCTCAGGCAGGGTGGAAGGAGAAAGAACTTGCCCATGTGAAGACCACCTGGTGGAAACCCTTACAGATATGGTTCTTAATTGTAAACTATATTCTTATTTCCGTCGGCAATTTCTAGATCAACTCTGCATCCCCAAATAGAAACCAGAGTTGGAGGTCATACATTTTCTATTACTGGGGAATGATCAGGAGCTCACCAAGTTAGTGGCTAAATATCTCTATTTGGTTTTTTGTCGTCGAAATACACTGCAGACACCTGATCTCCCTGGAGACCTAGAGATGTGACGATAGACTGCTCTGCCTCCTTTCTTTTAGCAAATGCTTGTGCCACTGGGGAAGTGGTAATTCTGTATTGATTTGTTTTGGATGTTTGGATGTTTGCATGTGATGCCAATAAAAGGTTTGATGATGATATTACTACCAGGGTGGCAGCATGAGTACAGGCCTTTTCTGTGGTGGCTCCCTCTTTGTGGAATTCTCTCTCCAAGGAGGATCGCCTGACACCATCATTATATATCTTTAGGCACCAGGCAAAATCTTTCCTCTATAACCAGGCCTTTGACCTTTAACCACCTGTGGCATTTTAGAAGTGGGAGGGGTGCTTTTAATGTAGTTTTCTCCCACTTGGTTTTAATTGTATCTATGTGAGGGGTTTGGGGTTGGTTGGTTGGTTGGTTGTAAGTTGCTGTGGACGGCCTTGGGCAAGATAAAGAGACTAACAAATTTAATAAATAATAATAATAACAATAATAGCAGGCTTTGATTGCTGAATCAAATTTTCCCCATCCCTCCACATGTTTGTGGAGCTCTGAATGAGTTCCAATACTTCGGCAAACCTATAAAATCAATATCCATCTCTATAGCATGCCACCAAATTCTGAAAAAATAAAATGGAAAGTGTTCTGCTGCTACTGAATAATCATAATTGTTTTCTTATCATTGAAACCAAGCCCCAACTCTCTCATTAATGTGCTGCAGTGACTCAGTCCTTCAAAGAAAGGTCAATGGATAACTTGCTACATGATACTTTTCCCCATGCTAGAAGCTTTTTGTCTGAGACTTCAGGGGTTACGCGATACTAACCAATCATAAGCAATTTAAGCATCTCAGTTATTTCAGCACAACCTCTGCCCAAGAATTGTCCAGAGAATAAGAGAAATTATTTTAATCTGATGCAGTTACAAGCTCGAACTCAGCATTCTCCCACTGCACTAAATTAAGAGTGCTCTATTTTAACAGGAGCGAAGAGCCATTAATGTAATAGTGAATGGGATTGTGGGACAGAACTATTACAGAAATGGGACAGGGTGGCAGAGAGAGAGAAAAGAACTGAACGCAGAACAAAGCATTATCTATTGAGGTCAGGCTGAAGGCCTTCTCCCCCCAAGCACTTACTGTAGAGGAAGCCAACAGAAGTTAATGATGATGCCTTAAAGCTAATGGTTCGAGAAGTGCAATTTTCTATTGATTCCCAAAGGGGATACATTTTTGAAAGGCACTGAAGTCAGGTACTTTACAACGTGAGCTGAGAATCTCAGAGTCTAAGGCTGGTAAGCTACTGTGGACTGTATGCTACAGCTTCTGTAATAGGGGGTATGGACATTATTTTCACTAATATATGTATTTTTATGTACAGTTGTTGTTGAAGAAGAAGAAGAAGAAGAAGAAGAAGAAGAATTAAATAAATAAATAAATAAATTATACCCCGCCCATCTGGCTGGGTTTCCCCAGCCACTCTGAGCAGCTCCCAACAGGATATTAAAACAGAATAAAACATCAAACATTAAAAACTCCCCTTCAGATGTCTTCTAAAAGCCAGATAGTTGTTTATTTCCTTGACATCTGCTGGGAGGGCGTTCCACAGGGCAGGCCCCATTACCGAGAAGGCCCTCTGCCTGGTTCCCTGCAACCTCACTTCTTCCAGGGAAGTAACCATCAGAAGACGCTCAGAGCTGGGACTCAGTGTCCAGGCTGAATGATGGGGATGGAGACGCTCCTTCAGGTATACTGGGCCGGTGCTATTTAGGGCTTTAAAGGTCAGCACCAACACTTTAAATTGTGCTCGGAAACGTACTGGGAGTTTACCCCAGTATATGAATTTTGTACACATTTATTTGTCTGGAGAAATGGAATGCCAAAATTCAGAGAACTGCAAACTTTGCTTATTCATTTATTTCACATAATGTATACATCACTTGATTGTTTAAAAGGGGGAAATGACGCTGTGGAAACAGGTGCCAAAATAACTTTGTACCACCCCACGATCTTGGGACTGGAATATGATCACGGCCCAAAATGTATCTGCCTTGGTTTGCATACTGTGGCAATAAAAGGAGCCTCCATAGAGCTAGCTGGCAGCTTGCTTGTGCACAGCTCACCTGCATTATTGACTCCTGCCTCATGTCCTTCACTTCAGGAGGCTGAGACAGTGGCGAGGAAAACAACGCCCTTGTTTGGGACTGTAGTTGCCACTCTCAGTCAACAGGTTGCAGCACTCTCCCTCAGCTGCCTCGCAATGCATGCTCCCCCCCTGGACGTGCCTCTATGCTTCTGCCTTGTGCACTCCCAGCAGCCGGGCAAGCGGAAGCACTGCTTCCCTTTTGCCTCTGCTCATTCTTTCCATGTATGTGGGAAGGGAGGAAAAGAGAGAGAGAGAAGGGTGGAGGCAGCCTCTGCTGCTAGCGCCACAGTCCTCCGTTCTGTGGCTGCGTGAGTGTGGATGCTGCAGGTGATGGGTGGGAGGAGAGGAAAGGAGGAAAAGGAGAATTGGGAGGGTGGGATGCTGGGTGGGTGTGAAGAGCAGATGGGGCAAGGTGGGGGTTGAAGAAGGGGGAGGGTCGCACAAAGTGGGGCTTTAATTAATTGAAGGGGGACAGGAGAGAATGAGAGAAAAGGGGGAGAGGATTATGGTGATTACTGACACTCTTTTTTTCCAGGAAAAAAACACTGGGTAAGGCGATCTTGTAGATAAACTGGTCCCAAGTTGTTAAGGGCTTCACATGCTAATAGTACCACCTTGAACTTGGCCCAGTAGCAAATCGGCAAGCAGCGCAGATCTCTGAGCACAAGGCCTCAATCCTGTCAGCAATCATGCTGCAGCGTTCTGCACTGACTGCAGAATCAGAGAAGCCCCACATAGAGTGCGTATGGCGGTAATTCAGTCCTGAAGTAACCAGCACATGAACTACTTTGGCAAGGCTAGGAAGGCTGGCTGTGTTTCAGCTCATGTATTGTTTTGGAAAGTGTGCATTAATTAGGTTATTTTAACATGTGCACTTAATCAGATTTCTGCCCCAATGTACCAGGAGTACACTGGGACAAAATGCATATTTAAATATTATTGTGTAAGAAAATGCATATTGAAGCATGGCAGGTTGATGCAGAAACAGGACAGAATGGACTTATAAATGAACACATGGAGACAGGGATGAAAAATAGTCTGATTCATCCATCATTAAGACATTGAGCACCGCCAAGACATTTGGCCTTGATGTGGGTTTTAACATAGCCACAGTACTTAGAAAGGAGATTAAAAATATATCACTGAAGTGTTTTGACCTAATCCATTATTACAACCATTCATTAATGCCCTCTCAGGAATGGCAAGATGCTTCCCTCTGAACAAGTCTTCCTTAAACAGCACTTGAAAATTCAATCATCAGGGGGATCTTTTTGTATGGAAAACATATTGAATAGGCCTTATTGAGAAGCCTATTAAGATTTCAATTTAGGGATGAGATAGACCTTCCTTTCACTGCCCCCCCCGGTGACCCTCTTCATGGTAAAAGTGTTGTACTTTTAAAACATGAAAACACTCCAAAGTGTACAATATTCTCATTAGGATATTGCTTCCTTTGAATTTCATACTTTTTATAGCATCTAAGGAAAAAGGCTGAGAAGCTCCTTAACTAGCAAAGC